TTCAAAACATTGGGAATGCATAATCGTGCCAATCAGTCTATTCGAGAATAAAGGCTGAAATTGTCAGATCTAGAGCACCAATAGGCGTTGTGTTCTCAAAGACTTTGTTTTCTTGTAAAATAGGTGTTTGTATTTACATTAAGGCTGAAGGTAAAATTAAATTAGATGCATAGTTTGTAGTTAACCAAGAGTAACATCTGAAATTGCTAATTAGAGAATACTGTAGGTCAGATTACAAACTTAAATGCATTTTATTAATAAACTTAACGTAACTAAAAATAAATACATAAATGACTGAAATATGTATTATACAAACTAACCAAACAGTTGACCCCGCTGATCGTCTTTTTTTTTTTTTAATCGTCTTTTTTTTTTTTTAATCGTTTTATCACTGATTAGGCTATTTTTGTTATCCATGACCTTTCAAAATGTACCTTTTTTACAAAAGAGATTAGAGAAATTGTGAAGCGCTACATTGTTAATATTAATATGTTTTAAAACTTGTATTATTCAGATGACCAAACTCTGAGTGAGAAAAGTTGAATGTGCTGGCCAGTTTATTTGCCCAATGACATTAGGCTAGTTTTTATTTTATTTAAAACTTTAACAGACTTCTTTTGTTTCAAATTATATATTATGTATTAAATTAGTATTTTATTAAATTGTAATTTTTTTATATTAGTTTATTCTAAATATTTATCAAATGCACTAAAATGCAGTATTTAAACCTCATAATTAAATAGGAAAGAAGGTGAATATCTGCAAAAAAGGTCCACTTTTTGAGAAAAAACAACCTTTTTCACCAGGCTGGCTATGGGCCTGTATTTGGGACATTCAACCAGAAACATACATTTTCACTTATAAAAAATGTGACAGGTCCTGATGCTTGTCATCCTCAAAAAATCATATACAAAACAAGCATAAAATCATACAATTCAATGATAGAACACATCCTTGATTACTCTCTGCTTCTGTATGAGAGTAGTGACATAGCCAAGTCGTATAGCCATTTGTAGAATTTATTTATAATTTCAGGTTTTTAATCAATTGATGTGAGTGATAACAATTTGCTATTTCTGAAGTTTTTTTTTCTAAACAACAAAACTATTAAAGCAGTAGGTTCAATTGGGCTGAGGGCAAAGGCAATGACAGGGTTTACAGTGTAAAGTGTTTTTAATAAAGAACAAAATCTGAGAACCAAATAAATGACATATTCCTTTAGAGAACAACTCACAGAAACTAACCATCAGTCCATTTTAGATATTTTTGGGATGAAATATATTTTATTTCTTGTATTAATGGCTATTATTTCAGGGACAGATAATGTACATTTCTGGTAGAATGTCCCATTTATTAGTATACTTTTTACGAACTCTTTTGAGTAATACAATTCGTGTGAATAAATATTTCGATTAGCAGTTTGATAAATGTTTAAGCTTAAATCTCCTAAGTCTTGGTTGCAGTTTTGATTCACAGTAATATTGCACTTTCATATTCACTTTCAGACTGACTGCACTCCGACCCAATTGCAGCCTTTAGTGCAATGACTGCATTTCCATGCTTGAAGACACTGATTCATGTGGCTCCTCTCTATATGACTCAACAGACAACGAGGCATCTTGGCTACTCAAACTGTCTGGAGACACAGCAATAACTCCTCCATAGACCTTACACAATGCACACTCCTCCTGAGCCCATCTCTGTGGTTGTGAGTGTTTCTCAGATGGTTGTATTATAGGGTGGAGTGGATGTTTTCCCTGTGATGTAGACCTCAATGACAGCGAAGAGGTGAGCAGTTATGACAGAAACAGCAACTTACATTACACTAGCAAAGAAGCATGGTCTCACCACTGAGGGAAATTTTTACATGCTGAAGTCTTTTACTGTCCCCTTGTGTTCACTCTGGTTTCTCACAAATCCAAAGCTGCTCTGACGGATCAAGAGCAATCACGCCACAGAAAGATATACTATTTAGTAAGAAAATCCAGGATTTTGCAAAGCCCTTTGTTTCCTAATAGTTTCAGTGGCCATTCTGGCACTGGTTCGCATTGAATTAGTTTCTCAGCAGTTTAATTAAAGAATTTATATTTTAATTTATTTTTTATTTAGGCTTCAGAAACACATATCCTTAATTTTTATGTATGATGGAGCAATTCCTGGTGCTATTCGGACATCTTTGCAGATTTCACTAGCTCCACATGAGTATTCAACTGCTTAAATAACCATCACAATTTGATGCTATTTACAATACAAGCGCACAGCATTTTCAACTCAGCACACATTGTTTATATATTCGATAAGCTCTGTGACTGGTAGAGAATGAATCTACTAATCGAATGAAAACACTCCACTGATATATTCGAATGTGCTAGATTTGTAATGCAGCTTCGTAGACCAAGGGGTTAGTAACCGGTGGGTGGGGGGATATGTCCCCCTCACTTTTAGAAACAGACCATTTAGAAACAGGTGATTATTAATTATATGAATGTAAACTTTTGGATCTCATTCAGCTGTCCCCCCACTTTTAAAATGTCTGCTACGCTTCTCTTGTAGACGTCACATGATGATCAGTAGTCTAGCATTTGGTACCTAATTCAACTTATAAAATTATATTTATATTTTAATGAAAATGTTATTAAAGAACCAGAGCTAAACTTAAATGGAATTAGTCTACTTGACAAAAAATCTTATAATAAATATATTCAACTAATTTTTCAAAATAAAAAATCCAATGTTTCTAAAGGGCAAATTTCACTGGGCATCCTTCATTGACCTGATAGACTGAACAAAAGCCTGGCTATTACCTCATAAGTACTGCATTCCCAATAAAACAAAAGAGGTTTATTTTAAAATTCTTCATAAAATATATCCAGTGAATACTTTGGCAAAGTATATGGGGGTTGATAGTTCATGCTCATTTTGTAAAACTAAAGACGAAACCCTGATTCACATATTTTTTCAGTGTGAAAACACAAAAAGCTTTTGGAATAGCTTATGTCTCCATATGGGTAATTACATTGCTTCTTCCAGACCCTTTCAAGATTTTATTTGTTACTATAAAAGTAAAATTGATATATCAGAGAACTACATTATTAACTTTTTATTTTGTATGGAAAATATTTTATTCACAAACAAAAATTCTCAAATTCGCAGCCTTCTTTTTCACATTTTTTAATTGAAATGAATGTTTTTATTAAATCTCTTTGACTGATTAAAAAAAGAAAAGTGAAAAGGTTTTTGAAGTATTATGATAATTATTTTTAGAAATATCACGGATGCATAAGTCTTTCTTTCCTCTTGCTGTATTTGCGTTATTTATGTATCTGTATAATTTTTTTTTCTTTCTTTCTTTCTTTTTTTTGCAGTTTTGTGTGTGTTTCAAACTCTTTCTGTGTGGAGTTTGCATGTTCTTCCTGTTTTTGCATGGGTTTCTTCCGTGTGCTCCAGTTTCCCCCTCTGTCCAAAGACATGCACTAAAGGTGATCTGAAAAAGCTAAATTGGCCGAAGTGAATGTGTGGGTGTGAATGCAAAAGTGTTTGGGTGTTTCCCAGTGTTGGATTGTGGCTGGAAGGTCATCCGCTGCGTAAAACACATGCTGGATAATTTGGTGGTTGATTCTGCTGTAGGGACCCCAAGCCAAGAAAAAAAATGGTATCTTGATGTCAACTGTTGTTTTTGGAATAGGTTTGTGACAAAGGGATGCACGTTCCATTCTGTCTTGGCTCTTTGACTAAATGACAAAACTAAACTAAATTAAACTAAATTTTCAAAATTCGTAGTTCAAATGTAAGGCAGGTTGCCTTGGTTTAACAGCTGCCACTCTAAACCCAAAATGGCCATTTGCGTGAGTGTGAATTGTATCGAATCCAAATAAGGTCAATTTGACCCACACCAAAATAGTCGTAAAACATGAAATGAGGGTTAGATTATCATGATTAGATACACTTTCAATAACAGAATGTGCATCATTTATTTTTTTTTGTTACCATTGCAGTGTTTGTAATTCACAAATTGAGCTGCAATTTCATGGTTAAAAGCAGCTGCACATCCAATGTTTTATTTTTTTTAATGTTGATAATTTTATTTCAGGTTATCATTTTTCCTGTGAGGGTATTAAAAATGACATTTAAAGGGATAGTTCACACAAAAAAAGAAAATTTTCTAAATTTTCTCACCCTTAAGTTGTTCTAAACGTTTATGAATGTCTTTCTTCTGTTTAACACAACTGCTGCTTTCCAACATTCTTCAGAAAATCTTTTTTTTAACCTAAGAACAGTTTTGGAACAAGTAGAGCTCAAGTAAATCATGATGCAATTTTCATTTATGAGTGAATTTACCCTTTATGTATTTTTACACTATATTGAATTAAGCATTACAGTTTTATAAGTTTAAGCATTGCAGTTTTGTTAGTAATCATTGTAGCTGTAATGTGTGAGAAGTATTAATGTAACAGCACAACTATTTTTTCCTCGATGTGTGAATTATTTATATATGTTTGTATTGAATAAAATTGTAAATCCAATTAGGTCAGTTTGACCTCATAAAACCTGCAACCAATGCAAACATAAAATGAGGCTTGCATTTATATGATTAGCCCAAGTTCTTTTTGCCAAACCAAGTGTGTTTCAGTAATGGAAAGCATGCAGAAGTTGCACATTAACCACTGCCTGTTTGTATTTAGACAAACAACCACACAACCAAACAACCAAAGAAAACACATTCATCTCCCCTGCTCACCAAAGCTACTCTGTCCATATTAAACTATAGGAATGTCACACACAGTCAGACTCCAATGGGACAAAAAAAAATCTGTCTGCTTTCTAAGAATTGTGCTGCCAGCTTAGGAAAGGGATTAAACCATTTCCATTAAAAGTATTTACCTTAAAAGGAAGAAAACAATATATGTAAATCTAGTTAATAAAACTACAAATAAACAACAGTTTTTGTATGGTTTTGTCTCACTTCTCCACAAACGAATGTTTGATTCTGGGTGACTCACCTGCTGTGTTTCCTCACCAGAGCTCCACACGTTTCTGCACAAGCACTTCATTCTTTTCAGGAACTGGAACTGAGCTGCAGGAATGTGAGCATGAGCAGCGTGTCATAAGGAAAGGGAAATTTACTGTGAGCTAATCCCACCGTCACACAGCACTCAGGCACATTCACTGACTCATTCTTACAGCCGGCTGGGCAAACTTTCTCCAGCACAGATGCTGTTTATTTCATATGGAAGCCATAAGTGAGGCCATGCTGTGAAATGACACACTAGCACTTTGCTTTTTTTTGGCAGTGCAGAAATGTACTGTACGATAGGATGTTTTTAAAGACCTATTATTCTGAGGAATTTTTATTTTTATTTTTTTTGCTTAGTAATTGTTAATCTAGTTTTAAATACTTAGTTATTTGCATATGTTATTATCTTTACATCAGAATTTATAAATGTAAAATAGCTTAGCTTCAAATGATAGTTCCAATGCAATCCCCTCAAAATATGTTTAAATTCCTTTTTATGTTGTAAACAAAAGAAATATTTAAGTTATTACTGACTTTCATGGTATTTATTTTTCATACTATGTATGTCAATGGCTTTCGGTTTCCAACATTCTTCAAAATATCTTATTTTGTGTTCGACAGAAAAAAAAATAAAGCTTTACTATCCCTTTAAACTTTGAAATATAGCAGTTAAGGTGCACATTTTTACATTCCAGCATAATATATGAGTTTAATTGATTCTCTTTTATTATAATAAACAACAGTTAGGCCTCACTTTCTCATGCTTATTATTTGCTTAATGTTGCAGAGTTTTGAGATTCAATGCAGCTTTAGAATGTGAATTCAGGTAATGTCGGGGGGGGGAAGAAAATTGTATTGCTTTGGGATTAGGCAAAATCATAGTTCTGTCATTACAAATACGATCTCTTAAGCTTCAAAATGTGCTGTGGTGGGAAAGACAGCCCTTTTCTGCCATCTTGTGTTTACAGCTGAATGGCACAAGTGCAAGAAGCTGGAAATATTTTCAAATGTCCTGAGAAAATATGAAAGACAAACCTTAAGCGCAGAAAGTAAATGCATTTTTACAGTTGACATGAAAATGGTGTAAAGTAAATCCTGGTTGTCTTAAATTTGTAAGCTGTTTCCAATTAACCGTATGAGTCCATTGAACTTATATTATGTTAAACTGACTTAGAACAGCTTGTGTAACTTAGAAAATTAGAACATAAATAACTTTAATAAGTTACAATAAACAAAAAACATATGCTGTCCGGACTAATTGATCATATATATATTTTTTACAGTGAAGGTTGATATTCCATGAACATTAATTATTGATCTTTATAATCATCAGACGATTATAAGACAAAACTACCAAGGGGATTTTTTCACATGTTGTCAAACCAATTTATATATTATATATTCAGACACTAGATATAATATTCTGGTACAATATTGAAGTACAGGTTTGCATAAATATGGAGACATCATCAGAAGACTACAGGCTGACATTAAGGTTAAGTGTACCCCTAATTTTTTTCTCTTTTTCAAATAGACATTAATAATTACATTAAGTCTCTCTTTACCTCTTCTAACAAAAAGGCAACTATATGCATGTTCCTTTTTTGATGTTTTTATGTAATTTGTATTGATGGTATTTATACTGTAAATTCCTTATTTATTTTCTTATACTTGGTTTAATATACTTTGCAATTTATCTATTCATTAATTTATTAATTGATTCATTGTTTTGTTTGTACTCACTGCTGATATGTTGTAAACTCCTGGCTCTTTATTCATCACAGTTGTTCTTCACAACTGTATTATTGAGCAAATTTTAATAATAAGTCTGAACCAGCAAAAAAAAAATGATAGCTGTGTAAATATTGTCATGCTAACAGTTGTCAGAATAATTTTTGGTTAACTGTAATCCATTAAATGCTGTTGCATAAAAAATGTTACAAGACTTTATATAATACAATAAATTTTAACATTTTACTCAAACCCATATCAAGTAAACCCAGACTAGCTAGCAATTTCCCTGTGTTTTCTTGCTTTTATTTCATCGCATTTTATATAATAATATAAGTAATTTATCATAAAAAAATACAATACTGTAAATAAAAAAAAACATTTAAATAAATTCAATAAAATAATTAGTTAATACAAATTATAAAATTAATAAATCCGTAAATAATGTGCCATTAACAGGTCAGGGGTATGAGAAGCAATCTTTATCCAATTTTGTGTATCAAGCTTTAATAATATTTTACTTTTTGTAAAATTGTAGAATGTACCAAATAATTACAGATTTTTGTTTGAATTTTACAGTGGGCTTCAGTTTTGGATGTTCTGTTACTTCTGTCATAAAAAATATGTCACAACTCAAACCTTTTTCCTTCACTTTCATCAATTAGTGAAGCTTGTTCCTTGCCTCTGTCACCACTGGCTTGCTTGGTTTGGGACATGTTGAGCTGCGCATCAATGGATTTGCTCTTCAGTGTTTGAAATTTCAGAGATGAAATTTAAACCAAACTGAACTGGACTGAATTGAACTAAAAACTGGGCTAACACAGTTTTAATTTAGCTTTTGTTTTTGCATCTAAAGAAAAAAAAATGTATCTTAAGTCTTGAACATTGGTCACAAATTTGCTTATTCAATTAGTGACTTGGAGTCCAATTTTTTTATTTTTTTTAATAAAATCTTTTAAATATTAATCCTTTATGATATAAATCTTTTGGTTTAAAATGACAACTAAAAAATTAAAAAACTTTTCTATTCAAGTCTGAGTTTAACAGTGGTGGAAAGAGTACTGACAAATCATACTCAAGTATAAGTACCATTAACAAGAATCAGTCAGAGGCACTCGAATAAAGTGAAAAAATTGTTTTTTCACTTTATTCGAGTGCCTTGGACTGATTCTTGTTGCTGTTTTGATGAATCCCTTACCCAAACTGACCATACATTTGAGCTTACCCCAGAGCGCTTTTTGTTTGTTTTTTCTGGATTAATATAAGTACCATTACTTTCCATTACTTGCAAGTAGAGTAAAAGTATCTGTTGTAACTATTCCTCAAGGTATGAGTAAAAAGTAGACCTTTTAAAGTGCTCAAGAGTAGTGAGTATTCAGTATTACACTATGAAAGGTTGATGTGTTTACAATTTGTGCACTGATGTGTAAACGTAACATTCTGTAGTGCATTTAGTGACTGTTTAAGGCTGTTTAGCGATAATCATACAGTCTACATACTTCATTTTATCATCAGTAACATGCAGTCTATAGACCATTTTTAGGGATGTTAACAAAAACAATGGTCCTAATGTGTTTCCTGTTTTACATTTTTAATTTCTATTGCTTCCGAGATCCAAAAAGAGGCACATATTGATAATTAATGTTATGATAGCAGTTTTAACATTAAGTTATGATTGAATACCTCTTGTTACAGTTATGAAATTGTTTGATAACAAGTGGGAAATGCTCATGGGCCATTGACATGACCACATTTAATTGGTCTATAAACAGTCTCTACTGCGTTTATAAAGCAGAGTAAAAAAGTAAGAATACAATCACAGTACATTATAAAGAAAAAGGAAAGACAAAAAGAAAACACTTTGAAAAATAAAAAACAACAACAAAAAACTAAAGAAAAACAAAAACAAGTAAATGAGTTAGAAATAGTTTCAAAGTAATCCTGCATTTCAGTAAGCAAAATATAAAAGACAGGTTTTTGCTTTGAAAATTAACAATTATGTATATAAAATTTTCTTGATAAGATAAGAAGATTGAGAAAATATATTTTCTTTTTATGTAAAGCTTCTGTTTTTTAATTAACAAAACCAAACAAAACATTTTCCCATAGTAAGGAAACGTCTTTATTAACATTCTCAATTACTAAAAGAGAAAAATCTTTTTTAAAGCAAATTAGAATAACTGCATTGCCAAAATAAGTGAACTATAGGGATGCGTTTATAAAGCATCCGTGTCTTGGAGTAGCTCAGTATGATGGACCTACTTTCTATGTTTTGATCGGACATAATTTTTTTCTACTTAGCCAATCCGCATAGACAAGAAAAGGAAAATAGTTCATGGAAAATAGTGGAGTAAACTCTCACTCAAGGGAAAGTAAAAGTACACATTTTTTAAACTACTCAGTAAATTACAATTCCTGAGAAAAACGACTCAATTACAATAATTTGAGTGTTTGTAATCTGTTACTTTACATCACTGCAATTCAATTGGCAAATTAAACATCTGAAGTGAGCTTTCATTGCCCCCTATAGACCTTTACTGATCAAATTTGCTCAGGAATACCGTAGTGATCAATGTTTCAGTAACTCTTCTTATCATTCGACATATGTAATTTCCTTAAATGCTAACCGCTCTTATTTGTCAGTCATCCTTTATGATGAGATGAAAGGTTGTGTGGTTTTGAAGGTTATACAGCTCGTTTTACACTTCTGGCTGAGCTGGAGAGAGAGTGTCCTGAATTAAATTACCCAGCACTCAGCTGTCTCTCGGTGAAATTCACATTTTCCTGTGCAGTGTTAGCACAATATGCTGAAGATGCTGATTACTGGCGGTGAGCGTGCAGACACTGCCGCTTACATCTTCTCTTTTTCGCCAACCTTTTAAAACCTGTAATTTCAAGGTAATCAATACACAGTCCCACCAGGCTGCCCGCAAATCACTGCCCTTCTATAGCCGAGCATGTGTGGCTGACAGTGGCTTTGACAGGCCACAGTAAAGCATCAACCCCAGACCCGCAGACTGTCATTTAGAGATGCCTTCCTTTTAAAGTGGATGCAGGAGAGCTAGGCTGCGTAATCAATTTTAAAGCTCAAAGATATGGATGGAGGTTTGTTCAAATGCTAAAACAAATTCAAAACCCTTTTTTTGCTATGGTTTTTGCTAGAATGTAGTTTTAGAAGAAGAAAATTTACCTTGACACATTTTCAGACAATGTCTGTAATTTATTTATTTATTTTTGTGAAACATGAACCCCACAAAATTAAAACTGTAGTAAATCTTTGTAAAAATAAAAGATGTT